TGTCTGTCTGTCTGTCTGTCTGTCTGTCTGTCTGTCTGTCTGTCTGTCTGTCTGTCTGTCTGTCTTTCTGTCTGTCTGTCTTTCTGTCTGTCTGTCCTCTTCGCTTAAACTCCATTTATTAGAAGAAGAGCGGGCCAGCCTGGTCCCACTGTGTGTGCCTATTTCTCTCGTAGTGAGTAATTATACGCAGTGCATGGTATTAGGGGTGGTCCAGAAAGCACGTCCGTCATTCGTCGATACGAAACTGCTTCGTTCAGGCCAAGCAAGCAGCAAGCTCCATTAGCGCCCGACAGGTAGGCAACATGTTGCCTGCAGTGCGCTCGTGTACCGCGGGGCGGCCTACCCTGAGTCTCGCAGGCGCCATACCCCCGTAATCCGTGATTTGTCGGATGAATCTGAGAAAACAAAACTAACGCACTGTCTAGACGATCCCTTCTACGATGATGACGCCTGTTCAAAGTAGTAAAGGCATAACTCTTTCAACACTGACTCTCTCTCTTGTCTGTGTGTTTTGCAGTAGGGGCAACGAGGTGCCTGCAGAAGCTCATGATGGTCGTGGGCAAGCAGAACCCATCCACGGTGTGAGGGGGCCGGACGGACGGTCTTCCCTCTGGCCGGCTGCGCAGCCACGCTTGTGCCTCCGCCCAACTGGACTTGACTGCCTCGTTCATCCACCTGCCCCATATCACGTTGATCATCCTTTCATCTTCCTTTTATCTTCACTTTTCTCTCCTGTGAGATTTCTTTTTTTTGTTGTGACGTAATCACTTTTCTGTAAATATGAACCTCATGGGAGCGTTCAGTTTATTTTATTTTTCTGCGAAGAGATTTCTAGGACAAAATAACGCGCTTTTTAAATCTCATCGTCGGGAATCCTACGTCTTCCACGCTAGCCATACTCGCGGAGGGTATCTCTCCGTGAAGGGTACAGACGGATAGGTTGCTTGTTCTGTGATTTTATTTAATCAGTTAATAAGTTGAACTTCCCCCAAATTGAATGTGTTATTTTGTTGCATTTATTGTTATGTCCACTTTATTTTTTTTTGTAAATAATCATGAGTGTTTTTGAATCCAACATTACTATTAGCATATATCATCAATTACTTTGATCTCGTTCCAGCAAGGCTACTAGTGTGTAAGGAATTCAATCCGTCATAAGCATTCCTTAAGTAAATAACTTTTTGTGTGAGCTTATGCTTGTACTATGTATCCTTGCCAAAAGTCCATTATGCTGGCCAGAAAGACTTAAGTTACTCTAGTATGGATCAGAGATTGAAACATGTTCTATTACTATATCAGTTAAGTTATTCAGAGTTAACACGGGAGAAATCTCAACCCCTTATTGGGAATCTAAGTTTTTGTGTAAGTAAGTGTTATATGCTGGATGTATTCAGATGCAGTAAAATATTTATAAAGCTGTAAAATATGTTGAGCAGTGATGTCCAAGTGGGCTTTTCTTGTATGTTTCACATTCAAAGTTAATTGGGCTCCAACAAGCAACAAGCTTTACTGTTTGCAAAGCTTTTATGTCTTGAACCACTAGGGATTTGCTGTTTCCCTGTGGATGATGAGTAAATACTGCTATGTACGAATAGACTGTAAATAAAAACAATAATCGCTATGATATGCATAAATTGTGTGAGCAAAATATGACAATACTGTTACTTTAAGTAATGAAACGTAGAAAAAATATTTACTTAAATATTTTCTTGAGAAAATTTTATGGAATTGTGATGTGCTATATTACCTACATCAGTGTCCATCTGGAACTATTTTATGAATGGACAAGATGAAGTTTCTTGAAAATGTAATGGTATCGGCTACCTCTGAAAAAAATTGGCGATACATACATCACACTGACTTTGTGAAATAATTGTTTTTCATTGTAATGTTTTAAAGTGAATGCTAGCGCTGGCATCTTGAAAAACAATATGGCAGTATTAATTTCTTTTTGGCCTAATTTCCAGTATTTGGCACTATCAAGTGTCCAATGGCATGTTTATTTTTGTAATCAGGATTCTTACTCTGTTCTTGTTGTAGCACTTCTGTTTTTTGTCATATAGAATTTGGTTCTATAGTACAAATTGTTGAATGATATATTTTTGTTATAATTTTGCTGCTTGTTTCTCAAGTGTGGCACAGATAGTTGACCAGTAGAAAAGTCAAAGTGGTGTGAAGTGTTATGGATCATAACTTTTGTTTACTGCCATTCCCTACTCAACCCACCTAATTTATATATATGTAACCTTATCCAGTGGTTTGTTTTGTTGAGTAAAACCAATGATCATTTCTTACAACTGATCTTTACTTTCTTTAATCCTTAAAGGAATGCTCTGTTAACAGAACTTATGGCTGACCGAGTCCTTTCCCAAAAGCATTAATTCCAGCCAATTAAATTTTTGCTGCATCTTAATGAAAATCCCTAGCTTTTTATAGTCCCTAACCACCCTAACCATACACCTCTTTGAGGACTTAAGTCGTGTTTCTGCGCGGGACCTAACAGCTGCTTCAGTCCCTTCCTCGCCCAGCCCGCCCGACCCCTCCGACTCCGACGGCAGTGAAGGGAAGTCCTAGCGGGCCTCACCATGGCCGAAATGTTCTCCGGGGAGCGACTGCGTGCCGACTTACGCGAGCTGCAGAGACTGTGCGGGGAGATGAGGCCGTTTGCTGGTGGCGATGCCGAGGCGGGGGTCGTGTCGGCGGCAAAGAGCACACCTCCTCCACTCTGCCTGAACGCGGAGCTGCTTATGGCTGTACACGAGAGGCGAGTACCGCAAGCGGCCATCTTAACGTGGACTGCATATTGTTGTATCTGAGAGGCACAAGGCAGAGGCAGGAGCGGCAGGAGATGGTGGGAGTAGATGGGGGAAAGGGGGACAGAGACAGTCTCCCCCCCCCCCCCGCTCCATCTCTTCCGATACAGGAAAGCTCCGAGAGCTCTGACCCCTCCC